GGCTAGATTGCACGTCGACCAAATGCTTATAGTGACATTTAAAGCAAGCAACTATGTTTTATACTCACAATGACATACAACCTCTCCAAGCAAGGGAAGCACTTGAGGAGGTTAACCACTGCGTCCAGCTTAGGGCTGGAAGGGCTGAGAACCAAAACCCTCATGGTGTGCATTTTGGTTGTTAAATTGACAGCAATCATTTTCTGCAGAACAAAGTGCAAATATAAGAACAGTAGCATGCACATAAGAATGTCAAATGCAATTGATGAAAGCTGCTGCTACCTGAAAAACTGAGCTCCCAAGGTGGAATTCATATGTGTCTTCAGACAGCATACCCAATATCTCCAGTTTAGGTGCCGAGATTATCCGTATGCTCGCTGTGCCACCCTTTGGATTTAGTGGTAGTAATCTCTCAAGGCATGGGGCATCCTTGATGACTAACTCTTGCAAAAAGAGACCACCATCCCTTGAGTCAGCGCAAAAGCCTAAACTCTTAAGAGTTTGGGAGATGATGCAGAGGCGACCAGTGCCCATGTTTTCCTTCAGCTCAAGGCTTTCAAAGGCAGTGCAGCCAGAGAGCAAGCTGTGGAGAGGGTCCTCCGAGATGGTGACCTTTCGCAGGGTGAGTTGCTTGAGGCACGAAAACTTCAGGGACAGCTGCACAATTAAGTTGGGGAAATGGCAGCAGTGGAATTTGGCCACGCGGAGCGTGGATGAGAAGCGGTATGTGGACGATTGCAGCAGGTACAACTCCCCCAGGTAGCCATATGAGAACTCGGGGGTGAGCTCCAACTCCTCTAGGTTGTCCAGGGCAGCGGAACTAAGCCAGCCTTCGATCTTATCATAACAGTCTTCTACATAGATACTCCGGGTATAAGAACGAAGCCTGCCTTCGACGTAACAATCCTCGATTGAGAAGCGGCGTGCGGGGCCACGATGCTCAGAGAGGATCTTTGGAACCAAGTTAATGTTCTTGTAGTCCACTACAAGGTTCAGAGGAGCAGAACGCCAGAGCGGACGCCACCGGCGGGAGATGATCTGTGTGCGGGCGCCTTCTTTGATGGGGAGAAGAGAGAGGATGCTGCCGAGGACGGCATCGGGGAGGCGGCTGATGTGATCGGCACTCCCCAAATCAAAATAGCTGATGAGATCAACGCTCCCCTCGTCAACGTCATCGCTGAGATCGACGCTTCCCCCATCAACATTATCAATGAGATCGACGATCCCCACATCAACATCATCTATGGGATCGACGCTCCTCCCATCAACATCATCGCTGAGATCGACGCTCCCCCCATCAACATCATTACTAAGATCGACACTCCCCGCATCAACATCATCGCAGCTGCCACTCCCCGGTGAATCTTGGTCGCAGATAAGGTGGAACTTAAGCTTCTTGGAAGCCTGCATTGCCGCCATCGCAGTGGCGGCGGCGGCCGCCGCCACCTCCCCTGTAGTCGCCGCCACAGCCGCTGCCTCCTTCGCATTTGACGCAGCAGCCGAAGCTGCCACCGCCGCCTCCTTCGCAGTCGCCGCTGCCTCCGACGCAGTCACAGCCACCACCTCCGCCTCCTTCGCAGCAGCCGATGCCGCAGCAGACGCGGCCAACGCCGCCTCCTTAGCAGTCACCGCAGCAGCTGAGGCCGCCGCCGCCTCCTTAGCAGTCACGGCCGCCACTGCCACCTCCTTCTCTGCCGCCGATGCCGCGGCAGACGCGGCCAGCGCCGCCTCCTTGGCCACCGCCACATCCATTTGTTCCCCCAAACCCTAGGCGCATGGGCCCTAGGGGGAGGCGCCCAGCCCACTAAGGGGATGGTCCCTCTCCACACACAGCCCATAGGGTCCTCCGGGGCAGGTGGACCCTCCCGGTGGACCCCCGGAACCCCTCCAGTGGTCCCGGTACAATACCGGTAACCCCCGAATTATTCCGGTGACCGTATGATGACGTCCCATATATAAATCTTTACCTTCGGACCATTCCGGAACTCCTTGTGACGTCCGAGATCTCATCCGGGACTCCGAACAACATTAGGTAACCACGTATATCTATTCCCTATAACCCTAGCGTCATCGAACCTTAAGTGTGTAGACCCTACGGGCTCGGGAGTCATGCAGACATGGCCGAGACAACTCTCCGGTCAATAACCAACAGTGGGATCTGGATACCCATGTTGGCTCCCACATGCTCCACGATGATCTCATCGGATGAACCACGATGTCAAGGATTCAATCAATCCCGTATACAATTCCCTTTGTCCATTGGTACGATACTTGCCCGAGATTCGGTCGTCGGTATCCCGATACCTTGTTCAATCTCGTTACCGGCAAGTCTCTTTACTCGTTTCGTAACACATCATCCCGTGATTAACTCCTTGATCACATTGTGCACATTATGATGATGTCCTATCGAGTGGGCCCAGAGATACCTCTCCGTTACACGGAGTGACAAATCCCAGTCTCGATTCGTGCCAACCCAACAGACACTTTCGGAGATACCTATAGTGAACCTTTATAGCCACCCAGTTACTTTGTGACGTTTGGCACACCCAAAGCACTTCTACGTTATCCAGGAGTTGCACAATCTCATGGTCTAAGGAAGTGATACTTGACATTAGAAAAGCTTTAGCAAACGAACTACACGATCTTGTGCTAGGATTATGATTGGGTCTTGTCCATCACATCATTCTCCTAATGATGTGATCCCGTTATCAACGACATCCAATGTCCATGGTTAGGAAACCGTAACCATCTATTGATCAATGAGCTAGTCAACTAGAGGCTTACTAGGGACATGGTGTTGTCTATGTATCCACACATGTATCTGAGTTTCCTATCAATACAATTCTAGCATGGATAATAAACGATTATCATGAACAAGGAAATATAATAATAACCAATTTATTATTGCCTCTAGGGCATATTTCCAACAGTCTCCCACTTGCACTAGAGTCAATAATCTAGTTCACATCGCCATGTGATTAACACTCACAGGTCACATCGCCATG